AATCATTGGACAATCTCTTTGATATCTCAAGCGAGTAAAGTTTTGCTCAAGGTAATACAGAAATGGCTACAATCATACATTGACAGAGAATCATAGAGTAGCTGAGGCAAAAGGAAGAAACGATGAATTAAAAGATCTAAACAGAAAATTCAAAGGACAACTCCAAAAGATGAAGTTGTCTAATTAGATGTGCAATGACCTGGAGTTAGAAAAACAAAAGGGAAGAACATGCTCAGCACTTCTCAAGCTGAAAGAACTGAAGAAAAATATCCAAGCCTCGAGTTGCATTATTAAAGGATTCTATGGGCAAAACATTGAACATTTAAGCCATTTTAGGTGTTCAGTTTAGTATCATAAATTACATTTACCATGTTGTCCAACCACCACTACTATTTCCAAAACTTTGTCATCACCCAAAATGGAAATTCTGTACCTGTGAAGCAGTAACTCATTCTCTAATCCATCCCACCTCTGGGAACCACTAATAAACTTTTATATCGATTTATTTGCCTATTCTAGGTATTTTATGTAAGTGGGACCATACAATATATGTCCTTTGTGTCTGACTTATTTCACTCATCATAATGTTTTCAAGGTTTATCCATCCTGAAACATGTATCATATAGCTGAATTTCTCTTTATAGCTGAATAATATTCTATTACATGTATCTACTACAATCTGTTGATCCTTTCATCTGTTGATGAACACTTCGGTTGTTTTCACCCTTTGCTTGTTGTGATCAGTCTTGCAATGAATGCAGATGTAAATGTGTCTGTTTAAATCCCTGCTTTTATATGTTGTGGGTGTAAGCCTATGGTACGAGTGGAGTTGCTAGACCATATGGCATTTCTGTGTTCAGAATTTTGAGGAACCATAAAACCTTCATTTTACTGTATATGTCCTGCTATCCTATTTCATAACTTCCCTTTTGTGGCTAATATTTTACTATTTACTCCTCTATGCTGTTTTTTGGTGTTTTTTTTTAACTTTTATATGTTAATTTTGCCTCCTTTATTTTGTAGTTTTGATTATGATATTGAAGACATTCTATTTTTAGTTTATTTCTGATGCTTAGTGGGGTTTTTTTCTTCTTTTGGTGAAATATTTACCCATCATTCCAAAAGTTAAATTTATCTTCTTATGCATTCAAATTAAATCTTTTTTTTTTTTTTTCATTCTTTATTCTCCTTTGTAGAAAGCAAGGAAATCCATATTGGGTTTATTTCTTCCTCTTCTTTAAAAAATCTATTCTATGTAACTTTAGTCTTAGGAATTAGATTCCTTTCCTTTGCTAACTAAAAGTTCTCTTTGGCAAGAATTTTTGTGATTTATTTGCATTCTGTAGTGTGTTTTTGTTCCAACAAGTGCATCCATTAATGAGACCAGTTGTTCTCAAACTTGAGTGTGCATCAGACTCACTTTGAGGGTTTGTTAAAACAGATTATTAAGCGTCATCCCCCAGTGTCTGAACTAGTAGTTCTGGAGTGAAATCTGAGAATATGCATTTCTAATAAGTTCTCTGGAACCCTCCCTCTTGGAGAACCAGTCAGTTAAATACACAAACAACAGCCTTCTTCTATCATTGATGCTTGTAGACCAGATTTAAATTGATTTGGGGCGTTGTCTAGATTGTGTAATCGTAACGTCCCCAGAGATTTAGTGATTTCCCTGGATTTAGACCTTGAATTCTGGACTTGTTTTAGAAAACGTTTTCGCATAAAAGATATAAGCTTAGTGGATTTTCTAGCATTCTTGCAGTTTCCTTCATGCATAGGAGCCATTCTTGGTCAGGTTGTTTAGAGGGTCCTAGAGATGCTGTTCACTGTTGTCTGTAGGAGGGGCATGCCAGCAGTGTCTGAAGTTTACCAGATTTAAAACCGTTGAGGATTCCTGGTGTGGCGCTGTGGGTTAATGCACCAGACTTCAAAGCCATCTGAATTGCAAAATTGGTGGTTCAAGCTCACCAGCTAATCTTCAGAAACCCTACACAGGGTTGCTATGGGTCAGAGCGGACTTGATGGCACTTAAGAACCAAAACAACAAGACCACTGATATAATCCAGCTTTCCTCCCTCTGCTGGAAAGTACCTAACTTCAGGATTAGGAATTTTTACCCCCTTAAAAATTTACATTTGTGACAAGTTATGTTTTGAAGTTTATTTTCAATTAATCTTTAAGTGAATGTACAATTCACTAACTGATCTTGGTGTATAGCACTATGGAGTAAAGCACTGGACTGAAAGGTAAGTTTGAATCACAAGATTGGTGGTTCAATCTCACCAGCCGCTCCTTGGAAACCCTCTACTGGGTCACTGTGAGTTAGAATGGCCTCAATGGCACTTAACAACAACAACAATTGATCTTGGGTTAATGGTTTGAATGATTAATTTTGCCTGAAATAAAGTGAATTCTCCATATAATAGCTTCTAATATAATGCTTTACTTAATTTTAGTGTCTGCAATTTCCCCATAAAAGTCTGGCTGTCATCCTGAAGCTGTGTTAGTAGGGTGTCTTCATTGAAATGATTTACAGTTTACGAGTTATGGAGCTACTTGCTGGTAGTTCCCAGGTTACAGATGTCTGGATTATGTAGTTATAAACCAACCCCACAAACTTTATTATATTAAAATTTCAAGGTATACACAATGATGCACAATAATGAATGGATGCTACTTTGCAATGTGCATCAACATGTAATATTATTACTATTATTGTTACTGTATTATTATGTTAACCATGTTTTAGTGTATTTGGAAGTATTTCTTTTTATTTTATGCCTAGAAAGCTACACTATATACTAAGACAAACATTTGGCTGACATTAGGTACAAACCTTGCCTGTTCTGACTTAATGTACAAATTCAATTTAAAGATAAATTTAGGAACAAAATTCTTTTGTAATCTTGGGTGGCCTGTACTCTTTGTTCCCACCATGCCTTTGCCTGTACCATTCCTTCATCCAGATCACCCTCCCTCTCCTTTGCTGCATAGAAAACTGGTAGCCATCCTTTAGAAATCAAATGTCCTGGTCCTGGGAGGCTGTCCACAAATCTTTCTCAAAGTGCTTATCAAGCCATACCATGTCCACATCATGGTCACCTTGCTCACAGTGTTTGTTTTTGTGTCCTTTCTACACAGCCTGGTACACAGCACATGGTGGTGAGAGCAATGACTGTTTGTTGGGCACTTACTAAATATCCCAAACTAATTGCTATCATGTCAATTCCAACTCATGACAACCCAAATGTATCAGTTCCAATGGGTTTTCAGTGGCTGAGTTTTCAGACATAGATCACCAGACCTTTCTTCCAAGGTGCCTTTGGGTAGACTGGCACTTCCACCCTTTGGCTAGCAGCTGAGCACATGAACTGTAAGCACAGCCTGGGGGCTCCTACTCTGTACCACACACTCTTTTCTCCATACAGCGTATCTCTGAGGATTAAGGGTGCTGTCATCCCCATGTAAAGGTTACGAAACAGAAGCTGGGAGAGTTCATTTGTGGGCCAAGAATGCAAACTAGTTCTGACTGGGTCTACACCCTGGGAGTAGTAGTCTCCTGAGACTTGCTGAGTGGCTGGTGAGTGAACAGGTGTCTGTGATGAATTTAGATCCCACTGCAGGAAGAACATAGTAGGTACATTTTTAATTAATATAATTTATATTAAATTTTTGTTTTTGTTGATAACATACACAGCAGATTACACCAATTCAAGTTTCTGCATGTACAATTCAGTGATTACCTCTTGGAATTGTACACCGTTCTCACCCACCTTTTCTGAGTTGTTTTGCCCCCTAATGCTCTCTAAGGTATATATCTACCCTTTTAAGTTGCTGTTGTCACTTTGATCCTATACAGATCTTTCAAAGAACACAAAGTGCAAGGCAAACAGCTTTACTACCAAAGCTACATGTTGTTCAGTTTTAAGAAGACTTCAAGAGTATTTCTGGTTGATGATTTAAAGATTGTCTCAGGGCAATAGTGCTTGGGTTTCAGCCAGCCTCTAACAATCCAGAAAGTCTGGATTCAATGATACTTTGATATTCTGTTCTGTAATTTCTCCCTTTTGATCAGGATTTTTCCATAGAATCTTTGATCAGTCTGTTCAGTAATGGTAGCTGGGCAGCATCTGGTTTTAGTTTTATGAAAAAGGAGGCAGGTGTTCATGGAGGCACTGTAGGATAAGCCCTGGACAGCATGATCATTTTGAGCCACAAGATTAGCAGCTCAAAGCTACCAGCCACTCCTTGGAAACCCTGTACAGGGTCACTATGAGTCAGAACCAAATTGATGGTACTTAACAACAACAAAGCATTTGATGGATGAAAGGACAGTGAGAGTTCTGGGTCTCAGTGATCCTAGGAAAGCTTGAGGGGGAGGTGAACAGCATTTCCATAGCAAGGATATGGAAAGAAGATCAATGTTGCCGTGCTCATACTTCATTCTGTAACTTAGAACTTGGGATGCTTTGGAAGTGTTGGTTAAGTCAGATAGATTTGGGACTGTTGCTACCTCAGGAACACTGCAGTAATGCTGCCCTGGTCTGTTTCCTCCTTTCACCTATGCCCTCTAGCCTCAGCCTTCATCATTGCCATGCTCCTGGCCAGCCTCAACAGCTGCTGCAACCCGTGGATCTACATGCTCTTCACGGGCCACCTCTTCCATGAACTCATGCAGCGCTTCCTCTGCTGCTCCTCCAGCTACATGAAGGGCAGCCGGGCCAGAGAGACAAGCGTCAGCAAAAAGAGCAACTCATCCACCTTTGTCCTGAGCCGCCATAGCTCCAGCCAGAGGAGCTGCTCCCAGCCATCCGTGGTGTGACCCTACCAGGGTCAGAACTGCCCCCTGAGGCTCAATTGTGTTGAAATGGATGATTTGCCCTCAGTGGCTAGGTGTACATTTGTACAAGGTACCCAGCAGTTTGTGTCTCTCCACACCTTGAGTGGAGAGTGATGGGGAGCGTTCTGCCATGGAATGGGAAAGTGGTCTCTGACAAGCCCCTGGACTTCTACAAGTATGTCTGCGAGCCTGACCTCACTGTTGTCCTTGGCTGGTGGGTGGGCTGTTTTTTACCTGGACCTGTTATTTCACTCCAGTGTCTTTCAAATCCTTTATTCTGGGAACTTGCAAAGGGTGGTAAATTTAGGATTGTGAGCAATTGGGTTGAGAATACCATGCTGTGAGCTTGGGGTAGGGAGTGGTTATGGGACCACAAATGAGGAGGGTCATACTAACATCTTCCTGACCTCAGACTACATTTGTCTTTGAGTGGATAATCCTAACATCTTTGGGTACCAAGTTGTTGATTGCCCTAGGAGCAGGCAATTAGCTTTTGAAACCATGTGGTGCAGGTAGGTTAATGTTTAAGCTTAAGAAATATCTGGCCAAGAAAAAGAAATAAAATGAACCCAGTTTGTGAAGGAAGAAGAAAAACTTAATTTGCAGATGACATGATCTTATATGGAGAAAATGCTAAGGATTACATAGAAAACTTTTTAAAGCTAATAAACTAATACTTGAGTTAGCAAGGTTGTAAAATATAAAGTCAATAGACAAAAATTAATTGTATTTCTGCACACTAACAATGAACAACACAAAAATGATATTAAGAAAAATTATATTTATAATAGCATCAAATACATTTAGCAAAAAGTACACTGAAAACTATAAAACATTATTGAAAGAATATAAAGACGACAGATAAGTGGAAATGTATCTGTTTTCTTGGATCAGAAATCTTCATATTGTTAAGACAACAAGAGTCCTCTGATTGATCTACAGATTCAACATAACACCTATCAAAATTTCAGCTGGTTTCTTTGTAAAATTAGAAGTTGATTCTGAAATTCATATGCAAATTTAAGGGACCTAGAGTAGCTAAAACAATCTTGAAAAGGAACAAAGTTGGAAGACTCAATTTCCCAACTTCAAAATATACTACAAGGCTACAGTAATCAAAACAGTGTGATTTGGGCTTGAGAATGGACATCTAGATCAATGGAATCAGATTGAGAATCTATAAATATATCCTTATAATTCTAAGCAATGGATTTTCTACAAAGGTGCCAATATAATTCAATGGAGAAAAGAATAGTCTTTTCAGTAAATGGTGCTGAGACAGTTGGATATTCACATACAAAATAATGAAACAGAATCCCTACCTGAAATTCCTACAAACTGAAATCTCTCAACAAACCAGTGAAGCACCAAAGGTGCTTACTCATCTATACCAAGAAATTTGGAAGACAGTTACCTGGTCAACTGAGTAGAAGCGATCCATATTTGAGCCCATTTCAGAGAGGTGATCCAACGGAATGCGGAAATCACTGAATATCATTAATGCCATATGCAAGTAAAATTCTGGTGAAGACAATTCATAGCTGCCACAGTACATAGATACTAACCATCCTTGCCTCCAAAGAGCATTCTGCCTGCACTTCTTTCAATACATATTTATTTGTTCTTCTGGCAGTACTTTTAATATTCTTCTCTACCACTGTAACTCAAATGCATCAATTCTTCTATCGTCTTCCTTAATCGTTGTCTACATTGTACATGCATATGAGGCTATTGAAAATATCATGGCTTGGGTCAGGCACACCTTCAAAGTGGCGTCTTTACTCTTGAACACTTTAAAGAATATACTAGAAAAAGAAATAATGTAGTTCCATTACAAAACAGAACAATTTATTCAACAGCTATTTGAACAGCTTTCCAAATGTCAGGCATGTAGGAACTAGAAATATCTCGGGGGGGAGGGGGGAGAGAGCAAAAACCTCTTCCCTCATGGAGCTTAAGGTCTAGTCACAGAGACAGACAAGAAAAATATAGCATACATTAGATAGTTGGTGATGACTAAGGCAAAGATCAGGGAAAGAGGATAAAAACTGCAGGGATGGGATGGACTTTTACACGTTGAAGGCTTGTCTGAAACTGAGCAAAGACATAAAGAAAGGTCAATTGCTTCCCCAAAATGCCTACATCTTAGTACTTGAAACTGGTAAACATGTTACGTTAGATGGCAAAAGGGATTTGGCAAATGTGATAAAATTTAAGAAATTTGAGATGAGATTCTGGATTATTGGGGTGGGCCCCATAAAATCACAAGGATCTTTATAAAGACGAGGTAGCAGAGCCATGAGTGAGAGAAGACGATGTGATAACAAAAGCAGAGGTTGGGATGATGTGAGGCCAGGAGCCAAGGAATACTGGCAGCCTTTAGTATTGAAAAGCAAAGATGTCAGTTTGCGGACTAAGGTGTACCTTATCTATGCCATGGTATTTGAGATAAACTCATATTAATGTGAAAGTTGGACAGTGAATAAGGAGGACCATATAAGACTTGATGCATTTGAGTTATGCTGTTGGAAGAGAATATTTAAAGTACCATGAACTGCCAAAAGAACAAACCAATCTGTGTTGGAAAAGGTACAGCCAGAATGCTCCTTAGAAACCAGGATGGCCATACTTTGTATTTCTTACTTAAAACATATTGTCAGGAGGGACCAGTCCCTGGAAAAGGATATCATGTTTGGTAAAGTGGTGGGTCAGAGAAAAAGAGGAAGACCCCCAACGAGATGTATTGACACAGTGGCCGCAGCAGTGGGCTCAAGTGTAGCAACAATTGTGAGGCTGATGCAGGACCAAGCAGTGTTTCATGCTGTTGTGCACAGGGTTATGAATAACAAAATAGATATGACAATGGGCTCAACCATGGATCAACTGATTGTATTAGATATCACAGCCAAACAGAATGTTGTTGGTGTCATTGAGTTGATTCCAACTCATAGCAACCCTGTATAGTGTTTCCAAGGAGCAGCTGGTGGGTTTGAACTGCCAACCTGTAGTTGGCAGTCCAGTGCTTGTACACCACAAGTCCCAAACAGAATATAAGATATAAAACCACAGAACTGAGAACCAACAAAAAACACAGATCTATAGACAATATAAAACACCAACCACAAAACTGATGTGCTTTGAGATTTTGTCTAAAATTTCTTCAATAATGTTGGATATTAGTTTGAAGTATACTACTAATGTGTATATATATCTTGCTAATAATTGTGACTTTGTAAGGAGTGTAGTTCAGCTTTTGTCTGATACCCATAGCCTGTAAAATTTGTACAACAAAATAAACTAACAAAAACTGACCAAAACACAAACTTATTTCATTATCCTAGCACAAAATCTTAATGAGGACAATCTTCATGTGTCCAAGACAACCTCATAGGGGTTCTGGCCTAAAGAAAGGACCAAGGAGTAACATATTCCATGTTCAAGATAGACAACTTAGTATTGTTCAGTATTTCTGGGAAATGGGCAATATTCATTTCTGGCAAATGGTCCTAATTTGTCAATTTATTAAAAGGCTACAATATGACTAATAAAAGTACAACAGATTATCACCCTGTCTAAAGTTCATTATTCTAAGAGACTCCCCTGTAACTCAGATTTTCTTTTCTAGCTGATTCTCTTGCTTTATCTGGGGGGGAAAAATTGACAAGTGCTTATGATGTAAGTTTTTTTTTGAGATTTTACTTTTATACCTGTTTATATCAGTGCCTGGCTGTACAGTTCTTGGACACTGAGGCACTAAGATTATATTCTGATATTCTTGTAACATAAAATTATTTATACAAAAAATTTAGTACAAGTCCACTGAGATGTGTTGAACATACTTCCCAACGTAACTTCTTGTTGAACTCTGGACTGGAGATAATCTTATTTATACTTGGTGGCTCAATTATTCATGAGCTGAAGAATGCCATGGATTATCTGAGAAACTGCAATTCATATGTTGTCTTGAAGAATCACATTCTCTTATAACTCCATTTTAAAAATGAACTACAAGAGAAGAGTTGAGCTACTCAATCTAATAAAATTGAAAAATTTACATGTTATTTCCCAGTATTTATCTCCCATGCTCTGCCCAACATTTATCTAAAAAGCACCTGTTTGTTGCTAATTTGATTTAACTACCATGATTTCATGAATTTAGTAAAACAATGTTTATTGTTGTTGTTGTTAGGTGCCATCAAGTCAGTACCGACTCATAGCGACTTTATGCACAGCAGAACGAAACACT